CGGGCCACGGAGGGGGTCCGCAGCATCACCCTGTACCCCAGCCCCAGCCAGAAGCAGGCCCAGCTGGCTGTGCTGAAATACAGCTCGCACCAGGCTGCTGCCATGGCCAAGAAGACCCTGATGGAAGGTAAGCGGGAGGCCGGGGTGCTGCGGGAGGCCTCTCGGGCTGGTCGGGGCCTCTAAGGAAGGACTGATCGCTTCTCCAGACTGGGGTGCGAGGTGACTTCAGCCTTGAGACATCCCTTGTTCTCTCCCTGTGTCCCGTGGGGGGCCAGCTCTCCTCGTGCAGGCCCGGTGGTGGGGTAAGCGGGGTGCTGGAGGACTTCAGGCAGCTGCCTGCTCAGAGCAGGAGCGTCACCAGTACCAGTCCAGGGCATCCAGAGCTTTGACCAGGTTATTAAACCTTCTCGATGGAGCTGCCCCACCCCTCAGTGCCCCGTCCCGTGATTGCACTGCCCTCCGATGGGACACATTTCCCAGACATCCAGCTGGAACCTCCGAAGTCCTGATTTGTACCCGTTTCTGCCCCAGCTGAGAAGCGTTTGGCTTTGACGTCTTTGCCCCTGCCCCTAGAGGCAGGCTGCCCCTAAAATCCCCTGAGCTTTGCAGCCCCTAGCCCACCCTGCTAGCACAGGGAGATGGAGAGGCAGCTGCCCTGCGGCTGCAAGGGCTCGTGGAGGCAGGGGAGAGGATCCTGTGCAGCTCATGGGTCCCCTGTGGGTCAGTCCCAAACCACCCACGGGGGTCGCTGTGCCCGATCCTGGGGGATGGGACGGGATGGGGTGGGGTGAGGCTCGAGGGCTGGTGCGTGAGCATCTCCTGCCCGCTGCTGCCGGTCTCTCCTAGGGAACGTGAGGCTCAGCGGGGTGGAGGTGAGGGTGGACTGGCTGAACCCCGACCTGAAGCAGAAACTGCAGCTGTGCGAGGAGAAGCCATCGTCCAGCCGGGTGCAAGGGGGCAAGTGCCTGGGCGTCCCGAAGCAGGCGCCCCTGGCTCCGGTGCTGCGCAACGCGCTGGACCGCCTGAACACCCTGTGCCAGAGGCAGTGCCTGGGGACCCCCTTGTTCCTCACCAAGTGCGTCCAGGCAAACCCCAACGGGTGGCTGCGGTTCTGGTGCTGGGTGGTGATCCCAGGGTGCCCTGTGCCCTTCAGTGGGTTCACGTGGGTCCGGCCGGCCGGCCCAGGCAGGAGCGGGCACGAGGAGGCGAAGCTTGCCGTGGCGCTGCAGGTTCTGCAGATGCTAGGTGAGTCCTTGCATGGCCTTGGTGCCGCCCCCCTGCCTTTCCCCAAGTCTTGGAGCGTCTCCGTGGAGCTGGGGTGCTTCTACTGCGTGGGGGGACCCAGCCTGGCAGGCAGGGCTGAAACGCTGTCACCCCACCCCGTCCCCGCCAGATGGGACCCCAGTGGCTCTGAGCTCCGGCTGGGATTCCTGGTTGGAAGCGGAGGACACAAGGGGAGGGGGTTTTGGGGTGCTGCTCCCCGCAGCACCGCACAGAGCCTGATGCTTTCCTCTGTGCTGCAGGACGCCAGCTGACGTAGGCAGCCCTTCTGCCCGAACCGCGAGATGAAGCTAAGCCGCCGGCCTTGGTGCCGCTGGCCGCAGGAGCGGCGTGGGAGGCCCGCTGGGGACCTGCTCCTGTTCCAGTTTTGCTTTGAGTTTGTTTGGGTTTGTTTTGAGAGCCAGCTCTGGAGGATGGGGCTGCTGGCCTGGTCCAGGACAGCTGCCCTGTCCCTGGCTGGCCCTCGGGGATGGTTCTGGTTTTGGGGGATGTAGGTTTACCTGCCCAGTTGGGCTTCTTTTCTTTTCAGTTGTTTTGGGTTGCTCTGCTGCAGTGGAGGGGCCCAGTGCAGGGTTTGGGAGAAGCAGCAGGTCCTTGGAGAGGCTGGCCGC